AATGTTTACGACATAAGAGTTGGAATTGAAAGCATAAATAAATATTGATGTGGCACCTATATGATATGTGTTGGTAGAGGTACGAGAGATAAATATTTCCTCCACCTTTGGGGTGGAATTATCATACAAAGATGTGGACCATTTTGCGATTTACTTGAACACACAAAGACAATATTAATGGCATATATATAGGTAATGTTTTGGCTAAGTTTTTATATCAATTTACATGTTTTTATTTATTTATAAAATATATCATTTTTGAGAAAGAATGTACAAAATAAATATATTTAAGCTTTATTCATCACTTTCACACGCAAGGCATTTTTGTAAGTTTACATCAAATTAATTTGTCGTGGAATCGACATGTTTGTTAATAATTATAACAAAACTTGTTTTTTTAATGCTAAAAAGTGAATTTTTGATTTCTTTAAACATTCCACTTTTGAAATTTAAAGTGATACAAACCTTTTAACTTTTAAGGGTTAAAGTAGGGCAATGTATATAAATGATATATTTCATCTCAATAAGTAATCACGATAGCACGCGGGAGGGGTCTAATTTTTTAACGTTCAATCAAAATTTGATTTTGTTTCAAATATAAAAAACTTAAAGTGATTGGCTGACTTTTATATATATATATATATATATATATATATATATATATATATATATATATATATATATATATATATATATATATATATATATATATATATATATATATATATATATATATATATATATTTACTACTTATAAAAGAAATCTAACTATTTCTATAAATAGATTGAATATAATAATAATATTTTTTTAAGACGTTCAAACTATTAAGCTTGAAGTACAACTCATTTATAATATAATAATATTAAAACTTTAACCCTATCATTTATCCCCTAAAAATCTTGTATCAAATTAATAGAAGAATTCATTTGCAAATTGAACCCGTCAATCTCAACACTTCAGCCATTTGAAACAGTCAATATCAACAATTCATAGAGGATCTCTTCTTTCACATTGGTAACAAGTCATCTCATAATATCTATCTTCGAAATCCCTTCAAAGTAAGAAATATACGCACACTCTCTCGAAGAACCCTAACCAGTAACCAAGACAGTATAACCACCACCACCACAGCCGCTCTGCCTCCTTCCTCCTTCAACCAACCACTATCACGACTACCGCCCTTCCTCTCACCCACGACATAAATTTTCTTTTGGAACATAACATTTTTCTTTAAAAAAATATTATTGAAAGAAGCTATTTGTCCCCGCCGCTGTGCGCGGGTAACGGCTAGTATATATATATATATATATATATATATATATATATATATATATATATATATATATATATATATATGGGAAAAGTGAATATACCCTTAAGGGTATATAAGCTTAGGTACCCAAACTCATAATAATACGCCGTTTTGTTTGATATATTCATTATAATATTGTTAAACTTCAATCATTAACTTGATTTATATTCAATATTTTAAATTTTCACTATTATCTTTTTCTTACATCACATCTTTTTGGTAAACACTTACTAGGTTATATATATTATTGTTGAAAATGACAATTATGTAAGAGTAAGATAAATATAAAATTTATAAAAATCTTTGAAGTAATTCAATTTAGAAGTTGAATTATAAGAACATTGAACAATTACAATGTCTATATACGATACAAAACGATGTAGTATAGTGAGTTTGGGTACCTAAGCTTATATACCCTTAAGGGTATATTCACTTTTCCCTATATATATATATATATATATATATATATATATATATATATATATATATATATATATATATATATATATATATATATATATATATATATATATATATATATATATTGCTTTTACTTTATATTCATAATATTATTAACTTTCAACTAAGATGTAAAGTACCTTCAAAACTAGAAAAAGGTATTTAACTGGAAGCATGAGTCTTATTTATTAAATATAGGAAAAGTGATCGTGATACTATTAAAAATATTCACTTTATATCAACTTATATTACTTTTATATAATTATACTTGTATTTTAATTTGGTGGGATAAGGAACTAATCATTACGAAAGTGTGATGCAAAAAAGCATATATAAATGAAATGCAACATTAAACCCTTTTTTAATTAAAACTAACAAAGCATTAATATTGTTGATAATCCTTTTTTTTCTGTCTCACTTTAAGCAAGTGAAATTTTGATTTCTTTAAACATTCCACTTTTTGAAATTTAAAGTTATACTAAGCAAGTGAACTTTTGATTTCTCGAAACATTCCACTTTTGAAATTTTAAAGGATACTAACCTTTTAAGGTTTAATAGAGTATACTGTATAAAAAACGAGAATGTTTAGATTAAATATCTATGCTATATTATATAGAGATTATTGGTATTATATTCATTTAAATTTTTAATACAACTCAAAAGTATTTTTAACTAAAAATTAATTGTTCACCACAACTTAAAAGTTTTCTAACTTATATCTATTTATGATTACTTATGTAAACTTATGATTTTAAAATTAAACTAATTAACATCTATAAAATTCAAGAGTTTTTTTATTTTTTTTATTTTTTTATTTTAATTTTATTTATTTATTTATTTTATTATTATTTATTTATTTATTTATTTTTTTATAGTTCACAATCTTTTTTGTTAGGGTTTAGAGAATCAAACTAAAAAATGACTTGAATGTGATATGGTTTAAGGTTTATGTACAAAAGTATTGTATTTTAGTTAACTTATAAGCAACTTCAATTTTCGTTCATTTGTATTTTGGTTAAATTGATAAGGAATTTCAATTTCTACTAAACTATATTGTACAGTTTGTATCTTAATGTAATAATTTTTAATAATATTTTATGTTCCATATAAAAATTTAATTAAGCATATTATGAATTATGAAAAGTGTTTTACAATTAAACATTTATGATGTAAATTCAGTAAAAATTATATGTAAAAATAATGTATGAAAAAAATATTGTTAAAAATATTTATATTTGTTAACCTGTTTGAAGTCACAAAAAAAAAAATAAAAAAAAATAAAAAAAAATAAAATAAAAAAAAAAATTGCTATCTACTATTGGTAGTTTTAGATAACGATTTCTCTACGAATCGAAGTTTAAAAAGTGGTATGTCATCTAACCTAAATTTAATATTTATTTATGAATTTAAAATAAAATGGATATAATCCAAAGGTAAAATTTCTCTTTGCCAAGGAGACGTGGTTTTGGTTAATTATCTTTTATCTCTCTCTCTCTCTCTCTCTCTCTCTCTCTCTCTATATATATATATATATATATATATATATATATATATATATATATATATATATATATATATATATATATATATATATATATAGGAAATATACATTACAGTCCCACCTAAGCTTAGGTAATAAACCTCTTAAAAATACATTGTTTTACTATATAAAGATTATAGTTAATGGATTCACGATTAATACTTCAAGATGTAAATTGAAGATCGACACAATATGGTTTAGGGTTTAGATTTAGGGTTTAGGGTTTAGGGTTTAAGTTTAGGTTTAGGGTTTAGGGTTTCAGGTTTAGATTTAGGGTTTAGTGTTTAGGTTTAGGGTATAGGGTTTAGGGTTTAGGGTTTAGATTTAGGGTTTAGGGTTTAGGTTTAGGGTTTAAATTTAGGGTTTAGGGTTAGGTTTAGGGTTTACTAATGTTCACTTGGGTAAAGTAATTAACAATAATTGAGGAAAGAAAATAGGGATGCTAAAACGATAATGAAAGAGAGAAATGTTGTGGAGGATGATATATTTACCAAGTAAAACCAAACCGGATATCTAGCATATTAAAACGGCATATTTTAGAAGTTTAGTACCTAAGCTTAGGTGGGGTTGTAATGTATATTTCCTATCCCATATATATATATATATATATATATATATATATATATATATGTGTGTGTGTGTGTGTGTGTGTGTGTGTGTGTGTGTGTGTGAAAAGTGAATATACCTTTAAGGGTATATACGCTTAGGTACCCAAACCCATTATAATACTTTATTTTGTTTAATATATTCATTATAATGTACTTAAACTTCAACCTTTGACTTGATTTACTTTCAAAATTTTCAAAAATTCATTATTATCTTCCTCTTACATCACATCTTTTTGCCAAACACCTATTAGGCTATATATATTATAGTTGAAAATGAAAATTATGTAAGAGGAATATAAATGTGAAATTGATAAAAATCTTGGAACTACATCAAGTTAGAAGTTGAATTATAAGAACATTGGGCAATTACAATGTATATATATATGATACAAAACGATCTAGTATAGTGAGTTTGGGTACCTAAATTTATATACTCTTTAGAGTTTATTCACTTTTCCATATATATATATATATATATATATATATATATATATATATATATATATATATATATGTTAATCTATTCAAAGTAATTATTGTGGTATTGTATGCATAACTATGAGCCAATTAATTTTACTTATTTTAAGAAAGTGATTAATATATATTATTGAATTAAATGTAATTGAAAAATATCATCTACTTTAATTACAAGGGTATTTTAGTTAATTAATATATATTTAATAAAGATCATAGATTCTATTAATTTTAAGAATTCGATTTTACGAATGATAACTATTTTAATTCGGACATTTTGACAGAATATGTTATTTATTTAATTATTTACTCAAAAATAAAAATATTCTTGAACAATAAATAATAAAAAAAATTTGAACCTATTTCTTGATTATGACTTTAAAACTTCTTTTAGATTAACAAATTCTTGAACAATCAATTGAAGAATGAAATCAAAAAATAAATTATTTCTTATAGAATACGGGTAACAATTGTTAAGAATGACATTTATTATTAAAAAATAAAACAAAAAAAAAACTTTCAAAATGGAAAAGAAAACATCAAAATCTAACGACTAATGCATTCTAAAAGAATAATGTGGTCCATTTCAATTTTGTGGTCCGTTCTTCAAGCATCAACTTCTGTGATTCCAACAGAATTAGAATTCATGATTCCATTCCAATAGAATTGGAACTCACAATTACATTCCAATAGAATTGGAATATCACCAATATCATCCATTGAATCATCTACATAAACAACTTAATTCCATAATTCAAAATCAACTCCAAAACATACATAAGAGCCGAATCTCTATGCTTACGCCCATTTTTTTTATAGTAAAACTACCATAAAGATACAACCATGAAAGGGGTAAATAGGCCAAAAGCACATTTACTCAGAATCTGAATCATCATTAGACTTGGAGCCATGTCTAACGTTTCTTGTTTGAGGCTTTTTTGACGGTTTTAAGGATGTTTCGCCTTCAAAAAATATAACTTCACCTTTCCCCAACCTCTCCTCCAGTTCTTTAGTGCTAAAATCATCACTCCCACCAAGCTCATCAAACCCCACCTATCATATCATCCATACATCATTCATTTTATATAAAACAAAACACACCAGAAAGAGTGACACATGTAGATATATATATATATATATATATATATATATATATATATATATAATGTACCACATAATCTTAAACTTTGGCATTTTTTATAAGAGCAATTGTTAGAAGAACAACAATTTTGAGCTTCTAAGCCAAGAATGGGCTTTTCTCTGCTTAAATCTTGATGAATCGTGTCTCGATATGCTGTTTTGCCAATATTCCCAAGTGTTTGCCAACTACCTGTTAAAATATTCAAACAATCTTTAATCCAATTAAGCAGTTTGTTGAAAAACTGAAATCGGTTTCATATGTTGTAATTTTCCATTTTCAAAACCTAATGATGTATGAACCTTAAATGGTTAGCTTTGTGTAAGATATGCTCTTTTCTAGTTCATGAATAGGATATCTATGCAATCTTTGAATCAATAAAAGCAATCGTTTCTCCCATTTTCTCTTTTTAATTCCATCAAATGAGAGGTGAAAAAAGGGGAATTTACCTTGCAAGGCCAATTTTCAAGATAGAAATGGCAAACAACGCGATCGCTGGCCTTAACAATGGAGAAGAAATTCTTCGACATCTTCTTCATCTGTTGCAATCACCGCTCTCTCAGGATTTTAGTGTCTTCTAAGTCCAACTTCTCCAAAGTCGCGATTTCATCATTGATTTTCTCCTCTACAGCTTTCGCAACACTCAACACTTGCTACCCGATGGAGAACAGTTTTTCCGGCTGCGGAAGCTACGGTGGCAATGATGGATTCAGACAGACCGGTGCCGACGGCGATGAGATCAAAGTTTGTTGGGTCGATCGAGAGTAGCATTCCGTCTCCGCCATTAAAAGGGGGGAATTGGGTTAAAATCAACCTAACTAGCAAAATTATAGGGAGTATTTGTGGAAGTTATTTCTCAAATTACCTAGTTACCCTTATTGATTTATTTAATTATTGATTTTCCTATTAATTTTTTTTTATTGGTCCACAATCATGCATACAATAATACAATACTTTGTTAAACTACCTGAACCTCTCTCTCTCTCTCTCTTATATATATATATATATATATATATATATATGTAACATCATAAATGGTCCTTATGCTTTTAAAACTTTTGATGTTTGGTCCTTGTTGGTTACTCTGTTAAGTTTTGTCTATGAATTGAAGGACATTTTTGTTATTTTACTACCACAAGGACCATTTATAATGTTTTTTTATTTCAAAAAATGAAAAAATTAAATATAATTATTTAATATATAAAGGGTCCCACTCTCTCTCTCTCTCTCTCTCTCTCTCCAAGGACATAAAAATCCCAACAACCTAAATCATCTTCTTCCTCAAAATTGGGTCTAATTCCCACATCAACATCCTCTATCCTCTCCTTCTGCCTGAAGATTTGACTCTAGTTCTTCATGTGGGTACATTAGGAAGTTTATCTTCTTCAGCCTAGCCCCACCTACCGGCCTCTCTAACCCCTCAAATGGTTCGTACCCACCTTCTTTAACCCTTGTTTCAGTTACTTAGAGCGATCGGTGTTGTCAGATATGTAAAGGGGTTTCATGAACATTAACACACTAGAATCCAATATCCACAAGGATGAAGAATTACCTGACGTGTTGGATGAAGACAGACTTGAATGAGACATGGAAGCTAACATGGAAGTTGGATTGGTAGCTAAGAACTGTCTGAACTGCTCAATAATCTGTGGATCCAAGGCTAATGGTGGTGTGAAATCTATTTTCCTCAACTGAAGGTGTAGCAGCAGCATACTATGGTGGTCTAAAAGATGAAAAATTAGGGATGTGACTGTCTAGAAGACTTGTTCTGCTATGAAGACTGAGACTTTGTTGGTGATCATGTTTGTTGTTGCTGTTGATTTCCTTTGCTTGTCAGCAAAGGACAATTTTCCTTCCAAGGGTTCTTCTTACAGAAAGCACACTCATTAAATGCAACTCTGGGACAATTTTGGTTTGAAGATTGGGATCGTTGTGGAACAACAAAGACAGCAGGAATGGATGTCTTGGGAACTTTGTCAGTGCCATACCCCAAAACCGGAATGGCGGAATCGTTCGTGGGCGGATGACGTCATGTATAGTATCACAACAATGTAAAGTAGTAAACAAGCAACAACATCATCCATTGCATTAATAATATAATTTCATACAATTGTGTTCTGTCAAGTTATATAGACACCAAAAAGTACATCAAAATAAAAGAGGAGTCTTGAACAAGCTCCATCTTCTCAAAAACCTAGCACCGGTACCTGTTTACTGGTGACCTGAGAATACAAGTTATTTTGAACGTGAGTATCAGCTTTAAAGCTGGTGAGATCATAATTATATTAGTGTCTGAGTTTGTATGAAAGCATTTGTAAGATGTTTGTAATGTATAAGTTTTGTAAAGTTTGTATTTGTTTGAACAATCCTAGAAAACCCTATGTTTCCTACTAAGAGTAGCCTTCTACCAAGGCATCTAGTAACTGTGTGTGTGTCTCTTGAAAGAGTGTGTAGTTTCCCAAATCCGACTATCATTAACCAAAAATATAGTTTTTACATTACCGTGCATCGTGTGAATGTTCACGAAGTGAATGTAATGGGAGAAATATTATAGTACTGTAGTATTGTATTCAGTAAACTACTTCTGTACTAACTACCTTAAACCAATTGTTATTTAAAGTATCGTGTAATCGGCCTGTACCCTGCTACTGACTCAATAGTAAAACAACGATGTAAGACGCCGTAAGAAATGACATTTGGCACCCGTAGACTTGCAAGTCCCACTGTAGCGAGCATCAAGGAGTAGGATAGTCAATCCAATATAGATCTATATGCAAAATCATACGCTCCCCAATTAAGGAGATTCTGGATACAAAAACGGTCATGGCAGGTAGTGCCATGCACATAACTGAATTAATGTATATGTAATGTATGTGTCAGTTGTATCGTGTGTTCTTTCTCTATCTAGCCTGTATAGTAATGTATTGTGTGTACTAGATGTATTGTGTGTTCTCTCTCTACCTAACATGTATAGTAATGTACCGACTCATGTATGAACTTACTCATTGTATGATTTATTGTTATAGTAATAGTATTAGTAACTTCCTAAACTACGACTATTGTAGCTTACTAGTAATATGACTTGTACTTATGAATATGAACGTATGCCCTTGCTATCCAAGGGTATTGAATTGACTGATAGAACTTTTATGCCTATATATGTATGCATAATATATAACTAATATTTAGACGACCTTCGGACGGATAACGTATGCCCTAAAGCCACATCCCAACGAGGAAAAGGAGATAAAGCGAGCTAGCCTTCCTTGGTCCTTTAAACACTACTTATATAACTATACATACATAGGCATGCATTTAACAATATTTAAAGTATAAAAGAAGTTTTGCAAAAGCATTTGATATGTAAAAGAGTTTCTAAGACAGTTTAGTAAACCAGTTTGAAAGTAAGCGATTCACTTGTTGATAGTTATTAATCACATGTGATTGAGATAATAAATATAGTAACTTTACTTGTATTCCCCCCCCCCCCCATAAAATCATTTAAAAGCATTTAAAATGTAAATTAAGGGGTATGAACTCACCTGTAGTGAGTGGATAGGATTGAAGTGTTAGATATGATGCTAGGTGACAAGTGGAGACTTGTACACACACAACGAGCCTAGTTATCATAATATATATATATATATATATATATATAACTAATTAGCCACTTTATATGTAATAAATTAAGTTAAGACACTCTAGAACATGGGAACACTTTGTTTCAAGTGTTAATGATCACAAGGGTTGCAACCAAGTGTTGTAGGGCATGGCTAGTGAGTGTAGGGTTCAAGGAAAACTCCCTAATGGAGTTTACGGTTCTAAGGTCCTCAACAAATGAGTTTACGGTCGTAAACTCATGAATTTACAGCCAATAGCTCATATTTCCTTGACCATTTGATGTTTTGAGGCTTTACAAGACCCTTAGAAGCATTTCTACTTGATGGTTAAGTCTTTGGAAGAGATTAGGGCACTATTTCCCTGCCTTGGGGAGTTCACGGCCCTAAGACCATTTTCTTTTGGGTTTACTGCCATAAACCCTTAAGTATTATGGTATTTTGATGTTTGCTAGTCCTAAACATAACAAGGAATGAGTCTAGGGTAATTTCCAAGGCTTATGAAGGATTAAAGCACACTTTGGCACCTTTATTTGGGGTTTACGGTCCAAGAAGTTATTGGGTCGTAAACACCTTGCTCTTGGTGTTCTTGAGACGTTTTCTTGATGTTTGGAAAGGTAACAACTTTACAATACACTAGGGTCGAAGTACTTACTAGTTAGAAGCTTGAAAAGGTGCTAACGGCCCAAGAACACTAGTGTGTGTTCTTGGTGTTCTCGGTCTTTTGGAAATCTAAACAAAAAAACGAAAATGGATGGATGAAAAGATGTATAATCACTAGTTGTTATGATATAACAAAAAATCAATCCAAGAAGTACTTACGTTTTTGGGAAATCGGGTGAAAGACGGGATGATAGTTGAAAGAGTTTGGAGTTTGCTCTTAAGAATGCAAGTAAGAAGTGAGGTGTTTTGGGGAGTAAACTCATGCTTAAGGCATGAGTTTACGGTTTTTTGGAGGGATTTATGACCCAAACATAAAAGTTTGGCCGTGAATTTCTTAGCTACGTGGTATTTGCGATTTTGAAATTTCAAGACTCGAGACGGCACTTCCTTTCATCCGTTCGTTTAAAGAATAATTATTATAATAATCAAACGAACTTTAAATTTGCTAAAAAAAATGAACTTGACTTATAATTTGAAGTGATTGCCTTTAGGGTTTGACCGAAAGAAAATTTCGGGTTGTTACAGTCAGCATGGGACTTGATACGAGTTTCTTCAGCAATCAACTCGTGAACAACCAAATCAACAGTAGGAAGAGGTGTACGATGAAAGATTGATCCACATAGACCTTCAAAATATGAACGTAATGCCATCAAGAACTGAACTTCGGTCACATGGTTCGATAATCATGTGAGATGAATTTCGGTCGCATGGTTTGATAATCAGATTGGAAGATGACGTTTAGGAGTTATGATAGATTGATAGATTGCTTAGGAAATATCTAGAAACATAGTTGTCATCTATTTGCATTGTATGAACAAACTTTTTCCACTTGTTACCAATAAAAGTGATTTTTTAACGTTATATTTCCTTGCAATGGAATTTATGAAAATTGGTGATTATATTTCTATTATTAGCAATGTTAAAAGTAGATTAGATTCTTAATTATGTCGTTTGTGGAAATGTCATAATCAACCAAGTGGAAAGGAATTCTCATCACCCAAGTTTCGATTAGATAGAAACTTGGAGTCATACAATTTGAATTGTGTGATGTAGGAGAATCTTGATCTTTGAAAGATTATGACTAATTCGTTGATCATATGTTTATATGAGTCAAAGGGAAGGACTATTGGATCTCGTACATATTGATATGGACTCTTGGGATCCATGGACGATAACTCTATTCGTCATTGTTTATCGATGTTTCAGTAAACATGGTTGTGTTTATAAGATTAAACATAATTCTAACACTTTGAAAAGTTTCAAATATTAGCAGAATGAATAAGAAGAATCGATTAGGCAGAGAGATAAAAGTTTCTCCAATCTGAAAGGAAAGTAGAATACTTTAGTATCATATTTTGTGATCTCCCTAATGATTGTGGAACTATGTCACAATTGATCCTTAAAAAACATCTTAGTGCAATTTTTTTTGACTAAGAAGAGGAATCAGATATTGTTGAAATGGTTCGATCAAGAGATGAGTCCTACTTCTTA